GCGGGGGGTGGGGGGTGGGGGGGAGACTAAGACTGGGGAACACCTGCGTCCTCCAGGTGGCATGGTCTGTCCCGGGAACTCCCCGTCCAAGGCGCCAGGACTTAGACTTTAGAACCCCCCGGGGTGCCGAGGACTGAGACACGTGGGCTGCCCTCACCTGAGGTCCGTTTCTCCTCGCAGAGCCCGCCCCTGGCCCTCAGGCTCTGCAGTGGTCGGGAGACTGGACAGATCTGGCGTGCACAGCCTCGGACCCTTGGAGCCCCGCTTCCCAGACCCTGGGCCCCGCCCCTTTGGCCGGTTCTGAAGGGCCTGCAGGCCAGACTTGTGCCACCCCGGCAGGAGAGGCCACCCTGGCAGGAGAGGCCACCCTGTGGCCCTACACCCAGGCCGCCGGGACCACCGCCAGCTGGGACTCCCCCGACAGTGCCTACTGGGGCAATGGCTTGGGCTGGGAACAGCGCGCGGACTGCACTATTTCAAGGAGCGGGCCTGGGGGGTCGGACTCTACCACCCCCTGGAACACCGGGCAGCGGAGAGATGGCACCACCTCCTCAAGAGGGTACCAGAATCCAGCTCGCACCACTTCCTCGGAACTGAGGCAGCAGTCGGACCGTACCACTTTGGATCGTTTCCCCAAAACGAATAACCACAGAGGTGAGAGGTCCCCAAACTCCAAAGGGCGCTGAGCCGCAGTGGGGGCGGGGCCTGGGAAACCGATCGTGAGGGGGCGGGGCTTCGGTATTCGGAGCTCCCCGCCGGGAGCCCGCACTCTGGGTCTTCCGAGACCGAGGACCGAGGACCGAGGCACCGGCAGTCTCGACACCGAGGGGCCAAGGACCCAGGCTCCTGTACTTTGTGAGAGGAAAGAGATGAGGGTTTGGGGGCCTAGGTCTGTAAGTGCGGAGGGAGCCAAATCTCTAAATCTCCGAGATGGGCACCCTAGACGCCTAGGTCCTCCAAATAGAGGGATCCGAACGCGTGGATCCCCAGGGAGGGGGAAATCCGCGTAAGGAGGACCCAGATGGACCGTTGGGCCTTCGGAGTGAAGGAGCCGAACTCCTCGGTCATCGAAGCGGCGCGGTCTGCGGACGGGGAACCTGGGGGTTCACCTGCCTCCACCCCGCAGGTCCCATTCAGCTGTGGCAGTTCCTCCTGGAGTTGCTCCACGACGGGGCGCGTAGCAGCTGCATCCGCTGGACGGGCAACAGCCGCGAGTTCCAGCTGTGCGACCCCAAGGAGGTGGGCTCCCCGAAGTCCCCCCGTCCCCCGTCTCCTCTAGTCAATCCAGTCCCGCGATTTATTTTGCCTAGTCCTTGGCCCCATCCCCATCTCTCCCGCCCTAACCCAGGTCACGACCACACCCTAGCCCCGCCCCGGACACGCCCCTTCCCTCCCTCCGATGAGGCCTCACCTCTAACCTCGCCGTAGGTGGCTCGGCTGTGGGGAGAACGCAAGAGGAAGCCGGGCATGAATTACGAGAAGCTGAGCCGAGGCCTGCGCTACTACTACCGTCGCGACATCGTGCGCAAGAGCGGGGGGCGCAAGTACACGTACCGCTTCGGAGGCCACGTGCCCGGCCTAGGAGGCGGACAGGGAGCAGAGACCCAATAAAAACATCCTTGCAAGCCTCGTCGTGCGTGTTTGTCTGCATCCTTCCTACTGACACTGTGTAGGGAGCCTAGGTGTCCCTACCCCATTCGGGAGTTCGATCTTCCCCCCACCCCACCCCCACAGAGACCCAGGGGTTCAGACCTTCATCTCTTCTCTCACTTCGTCCAGGAGCTCACAGTGCACCGTGAAGACATCACCAGACAAGGATATCCCAGCGAGGTCAGGGCTGAGAATACTCCAGGAGATTGAAGGAGCCCAAAAGAAGGGACCTGACCTAGCCCAGGAGGAGAGTCAGGGAACACTTCCATGGGTGGAATACCTCAGCACTGTTTAAAAACATTCGTTTGGCTGGAGAGGGGAAGATGGATCAGTTCACAAAAGATCTGTGGGCCATACTGAGGCGTCTGGTCTGGATTTTGTCTCCAGGGCACCGGGGAGCCATGGAGGGGTTTAAGCAGAGGAGGGGTTTGGTTTTAGGAAGATTTCATTGAAGAGGATGTAAATGGATAATTCCACACAGGATTACAGTGTCGGTGAACACAAGATATAAGAGGCCCCTGCTCCAGTTAGGCCTGGACACATCAAGACAATATTGGGGAGGCTTTGGAGGCCAGACTGAGGGGTGGAAGGGAAGCAGTTCTCTTACACAGCTCCCTCTCCTAGTCCCCAGGCACCTCCTTCATTTGCACAAGAAATTCACACATTTGAGCCAGCAAGGGGTGTGGTAGTTGAAGTGTTAGATTCCCACATGGTCACTGCAGTTGGAGTTCCAAACCTGGTGGCTCTTCCCACTTCCCCTCTCTCTTTCTCTGGTGAGCACACGTGCCCTATAACAAGCTTTAAAAAAAAAAAAAAAAAAAACCTAAAAAAAATTTTTTAAAAAAAGAAATTCACTCATTCAACAAATATCTATAGAGTATCTCTTATGTGCCAGACACTATTTTAGCTACAACAGAGAATAAGACAGACAAAACCGCCTGTGTCAGGACTGTAAAAGGAATTAGATCCAATGGTGTTTCTGACGATGCTTTATGACACTTCTGTTCTATTGAGGGAAATAAAAATGTAACTATAATTAAAAAGGAAGGCTATACTGTGTGAGAAGGTCAGGTTCCTGGAGAAATAGAGTAGGGAAGGGGATGGAGATGAACAAGATTGCAATTTTAAATACTAGGTCTGAAAGGGACTCACCTAGAAGGTGACTTAGGAACAAAGACCTGCAGCGGGTGGGAGAGGGCGCCATCTGCAGGAAGAGCATACCAAACTAAAGGAACCGGGAGCAGGAAGCCCTTTGGGTGGGCAGCCTGCACATTTCTGGAACCTCTAGGAAGATAGTGTCTGGAGCAGTGGGAGTGAGGAGGAGAGGGAAGGAGATGAAGATATAAAGGGGCCAAGTTACTAGGTCATCTGTAAAGATCTGGCTTTAGATTAAGAGGTAGACCAGAAGCCAGGGGAGGGCTCTGGGAGGAGGAAGGGACCTAATCTGAGGTGTTAACAGTGTCCCTCTGACTATGTGGAGATACTGCAGTGGGAAGAACAGAAGCAAGAAGGGCAAAGAGTGGCCTACAGTGATGGTGGCTTGAATCAGATGTAGCAGAGGTAGATCCTGGATGTATTTTTCCAGCAGAACCAACAGGACTTCATAATGGATTAGCTGTGTGGTGTAAAGATTGGAGTCAAGGACAACTCTGTAACTAGAATAGAGACCTTTCATAGACTTTAACTCCTAGCCCCTCCTTTCTGTGATGCTGGGCTTCGGATTTTTTTTTTTTTAATTATTTATTTGGGGCCACAGGCACACTACTGGACTCCCACATGGCCAACCATGGTTCGAATCCGAGCTCTGGCAGCTTGAAGCTCATCTCGGGCATGTGCACGGGCACACCCAAAATGGGGGGGGGGAATGGAAGGGAAGAGATTGCAGCTGGCTAACCCCCCCAGGGAGTGAGTGATCTCTCACTTTCCCTCTCACTGTCTCTCTCTCTCTCTCTCCACCCCCAGTGCATGTGCTCTAAGGCAAAAATTTCTAAAAAAGATTATTTCTTTAATGTATTATTATTACTACTTTTAAAATTTGCAATAGGGCATGGCACACATGTGAGTGCAAGAGAGAAAGCAAGCCACTAGGTCCAGGACTCAAACCACGGTGGCTATGTGGGAGTCTACCACTTTAGCCACCACTCCACATGCTGGTTCTGGACTTTGGATTTTGAGGCTTCAGCCGCCCCAAATCTTTGTTAATTAGTGTATGCTAAAGTTTGGGGACCAAGGTGATGGAGTCTGTGAATTCTTCATTCTGTGACCAGTGACATTGGGGAAGAGACTGGTTCTTTGTGTGTGTGTGTGTGTGGATAGGTTTTTGCTATAGGGCATGTGCGCTCGCCAGCCAGCCAGACAGAGACATAGAGACAGAAAGCGAGAAATCACATGTGCTCTCTGTCTTTCTGGTGAGCACACGTACCCTATAGCAAAAAACTCTCAAAAAAAAAAAAAAAAGAATATTTATTTATTTATTTAAATTTGACCAGAGAAGAAGGAATAGAGAGAAAGAGAGAGAGAAAGCGAGAAAGCAAGCCGCCAGGTTCAGGACTTGACTCACAGTGGGCCATGTGGGAGTCCAGAACCTTTAACCACCATGCCACCTCTGAGACTGGTTCATTTTCTTTTTCTTTTTTATAATTTTTAAAATAATTATTTATTCATTTATTTCCATTTGTTATTGTTTTCTTTGTTGTTGTTGTTGTTGTTTTTTCCTTTATTTGACGAGAGAAAGAAAGGGAAAATGAGAAAGCAAGCCACCAGGTCCAGGACTTGAACCATGGTTGGCCATGTGGGAATCCAGCGCCCTTATCCACCACACCACCTGCTGGCCCCAAGACTGGTTCATTTTCAATGGGGCCAAGGGGTGGTGTGGTGGTTAAGGGCGCTGGGCTCCCACAAGGCCAACAGCGGTTCGTGTCCTGCTTTCTCGCTTTCCTTCTCTCTCTCTCTGTCCCTCTCTGGTCAAATAAATGAATGAAAAGAAGTTAAAATAATTCTAAAAAAAAAAAAAAAAAAAACAACTTTAGAAGGAAAAAAAAATTGACCCGAAATAATTACGAGGGCAGGAATTTTCACGGTATTTTTACAGATGCATACTCAACCCATATGGAAGTGCCTGATACAGGATTCGCGTTCAATAACTATTTCTGGCATGAATAAAAGTACTTCCACAGGGACATTTTCCCATGCCCATCCTCCAACCAGTCCCGCGATCTGGACCCCACCTCCTCCCTCCTCCGGGTAAAGACAGGGAGGCGGGGAGCACCTGCAACCAGCACGGATGAGCCCCAGTTCGTAGCGCTTCGAAATGCCTTGCAAACTCACGATGGGGCGGTGAGCGGTGAGGAGCAGACATTCTGCCCACTAGAAGGGCGCAGTTCTCGCGGGTGGGCGTGGCTATCCCTCCCCGCTTCCGGCCGGTCTTAATTCCGCTTCCTGTCCAGCTCTGGCGTCTTTGCTGAGGGTCACATTGAGCTGCGAGCTGCTGCAGGGGCGTCTTTAGGTGAGTGTGGAGGATTCGGGCACCTAGCACCCCAGCTTAGCGGGCGGAGGAACGAGACCCCAACTCATGCAAGAACGGGGCGCGATTTCGGCCGGCAGCGTCCGACCTCCCTGGGCCCTGGGGCTTGAGGCCTGGTCCTCTTCATAGTAACAGCCAGAGACGATGTAGATCTTCCTTAAAGCCAGGCAACGTTCGGGGCGTTGTATATTAATATATTAGCTCATTGAATCCTTTTTCCAGCCCCGTGAGGTCAGGCCTGTAATGATCCCCTTTTGACAGCGAGGAGACTGATGCTCGCGATTTAGCCGAGGCTTCTGAGCAACCAGGATTTGGACTCGGCAGTTTGGACTGCACTGTCCTTAATCAACAGTCCACGTGCATGGCCTTCGCGGGTTGCTTTGGCCTCAGCCTGGCTCGTTGGTGTCTGGTCTCTCCTGCCTCTTGGACGTTGGAGGGGCGGCAGTGTCATGGCCAATCTACCCTCACCCTCAAGTGTTAAGTCAAGATCTCGCCCAGAACTGCTCTTCCCAGTGGCTGGTATTTTACATCTCTCCTTTCCATCCCCACCCCTAGTGCCCCAGCCCTCCAGCCCTCCCTGGGGCAGCTCGCATTGGACCGTGGCTCCATGACTCCTCAGGGCTCCACAGGAGTTAGCCACTTTGTCTCAGGTTCCCAAGAAAACTGTATGTCACCGTTTCAGAGACATGATAGTCAAAGATTTCAAATCCTGGGTCCACAGAGTTGGTAGACTTGCAGGAGTGCTAGTACTTGAATTACATCGGTTTTTTTACTTACCTCTACGTGAGATATAGCATTTCCTTCCATCGAGATGGTGGCGACCTCAGTAATGGTGGCAGTGGTGGCTTTGTCCATCACAGATATTCTTACATCATATTGTGGTTGCAGATACCACACAATACCATTTTCACTCCTGGTCACTTCAGCTGCAGTGTCGTTTCTGTTCAGTCAGTATACAGCAGTGGTCCTAGAGTGAGTATATATGCTTTATCATCTACAGTAGGCTATGTAAATACGCTCCGTGCTGCTCACACCATGAAACCACCTGATGACACGGTTTTCAGAACGGATCCCCACTGATAAGCAATGCATGACTGTGCTTAATACAGATGACTGGGTTTCTTGTCCTCTTGTAAGATTTTTCATGCATTTGAACATATCCAGAGAAAGAAGGTAATGGGGTCCCTCAGACCCCTGAGGGGTTTGTAACACCAAAAAGATAAGAATGTTTGCCGTGTAGATTATGCCAGTGATGAAAGCATCCCACCATTTGTATGCTGTATGACCTTGGGACGTCATCTTAAACATCTTGACCTTTCCTTGTCTGTGTGATAGGGTAGTTACAGTCCTACCTTTCTGAGTGGCTGGAGGAGTAAAGTGTTTAGAGCAGCACCTAGTATGTAATAAGTGCTTGGTGTTACCTGGTCTTTTTGGACCAGGACTGATTTTGCTAAGATCCCCATCCTGCTATGACTTGCATACTCAGTTGTATGGATTTGAGCTGCCGTGTGTGTGTGTGTGTGTGTGTGTGTGTGTGTGTGTGTTGAGAAAGAGGATGTGGTGGCTTGTTAACACCCAACCTGTTCTCTGGCCCTCCTGCATTGGCTCTGGGTGGTCTAACAGTCCCCTGCTCAGGCTCCCCAGGCCCCCCACCAACACCCACTTCCCTTTGCCTCCAGGAGTCAGCATCATGGCAGAAGACATCAAGACCAAAATCAAGAACTACAAGACCGCCCCTTTCGACAGCCGTTTCCCCAACCAGAACCAGACCAGGAACTGCTGGCAGAACTACCTGGGTAAGGAGGGCATGGTGGGGGGGCTACAGAACTTCCCCTGGTCCCACACTTCAGGTCACTTACCTCTTGCCTCCTCCTAGGGGACCCATGCATCCCAGTCTCCTCCTTTAAATTCTAGACTTTCTAGCTCTGGAGGCCCCATGCTCCTCATCACAGTCATGTTCAGTGTTTGGGCCAGGGTTAAAACTGGTTCTTGCGGTGTTTTTTTCGTCTTTGACCATAGGGTGTGTGCTCACTGGAGAGACAGAGAAGGAAATGAAAAGTCGCCCTCCACTCCAGGGTAGATGGCCACGCCACAGTCCTTTCTTATCCATTCTCCTCCTGGGATTTTGGGCATGCATGCACACATACCATACATGATTTTCTTTCTTTTTTTTTTTTTTTTTTTTTTTTTAGAAAAAAATATTTTTTTTTTTACTATTTTTTTTTTTTATTTGACCACAGAGAGAGAGAGGGAAAATGAGAAAGCAAGCCACCAGGTGCGGGACTTGAAGCATGGTTGGCCATGTGGGAGTCTAGCACCTTACCTACCCCCTGCTGACCCCACCTCATGTGATTTTCAAGCTGCCAGATCTGGGACTTAAATCACAGTCTGCCATGTGGGAGTCCAGCACCTTAACCACCACGCCACCGGCTGGCCCCCTGCAATTTTTAATTTTAAGGAATGTGTGTGCGTCTTGTAACATAAGTAAAAGAAGTACATAAAACATACAGCTGAGTGAATAATTCCAAAGTAAACCCCCTGCACAGCTACAATCTAAATAGAAATCGCCAACATGCTAATCTCCCCTGCCTATCTGGTGCCTTATCTTTGACACAGCGTCCTGCTTTTCCTCCTGGAGATGTGACCCCCACCAGCAGTGCACATCTTTGTTTTACCACCATGTTCAGGTTCACTTCTTTGTGAGCTTTTACATATTGTGTGTTTTCTTTGTGTTTAAAGTTCTTTTTTTTTTTTTTTTTTTTGGAAATCACCCCCCAGGGGGGATGGCCACATCGCAATCCCTTCTCCATTCTCCTCTTGGGATCTTGGGCACGCACGCACCCACACCCGGTGTGAGTTTAAGCCACCGGGTCCAGAACTTGAACTGCAGTCAACTACATGGGAGTCCAGCAGCATAGCCATTACGCTAACTGCTGGTCCCGTGTTCAGAGTTCTTTATTCAACAGTCTTTCAGTTTCATTCATGCCGTGGCATATAGTTTGCTGGTTTCCACTGCTGTACAGTTCTCCACAATTTATTCTATTCAGAGACACTTGGGTGGTTTACATTTTGCTACTTTTAAGAATGGTATTGTGGGGCCAGCAAGTGGAATGGTGGTGAAGGTGCTCGACATCCACATGGCCAACCGCAGTTCAAGTGCTGGACCCAGCAGCTGAAATTCGTACCAGGCATATGTGCGTGCATGCCCCAAATCCTGAGGTGAGAAGGGAGGAGGCGAGACTGCATCGTGGCCATCCTGGGGATTTTAACATAAAAATTTTGGAGGACACCAATATTCGGACTCTAGCAATTGTCTTTTTTGGGAGACAGTATGTTTGATGCCCAATGTCCGGATCCGCCAATGGTTATAAAATGCTGATATTCCTGAGCCCAGCAAGTGCTGTGGTGGTTACGGCGCTGGACACTCCCACATGGCCAATCACGGTTCAAGTCCCAGACCTAGCGGCTTGCTTTCTCACTTTCCCTCTCTCTCTGTCTCTCTCTCTGGTCAAATTAAGTGAATGAATAAATAAAATTAAATAAATAATTCTTTAAAAAACCTTTACGCTTTAAATTTTTATTGGGTCATTGGAAAAGTCATGATGCATTTTTTTTTTTTAAGAAGAATTACTTTATTGGGGCTGGCAGGTGGTGTGGTGGTTAAGGGCCCATAAATAAATAAGATAAAAATAGAATAATTATTTTTTTAAATAATTATTTTATTTAACTTTATTTTAATTTGACCAGAGAGGGACAGAGTGAGAGAGAGAGGGAAAGTGAGAAAGCAAGCGACCAGGTTGGTATTTGAACCATAGTTGGCCATGTGGGAGTCCAAAGCCCTTAACCACCATATCACCTCTTGACCCAGGGCAGTCATTTCTTAATTCAGACTTACTTATTTGTTCTTTTACTCATTCATTCGGCAAAAAGTTCGTTTGATGATGCATGAGGAAGAGAAAGCTGGTCAATAGTTTTGGTAGGTTGGTGAGCTTATTTGCTTTTTCATTTTAGTTACTATTTAAAGAACTAAAGAGTGAAAAGAACATAGGCAAAATTTGCTCACAGAGTTATGAAATTTGTGCTTGTTGTTCATACAGTTATGTATAGGCTGATTACAAAAACACCTTAACCACCACGCCACCGGCTGGCCCCCTGCAATTTTTAATTTTAAGGAATGTGTGTGCGTCTTGTAACATAAGTAAAAGAAGTACATAAAACATACAGCTGAGTGAATAATTCCAAAGTAAACCCCCTGCACAGCTACAATCTAAATAGAAATCGCCAACATGCTAATCTCCCCTGCCTATCTGGTGCCTTATCTTTGACACAGCGTCCTGCTTTTCCTCCTGGAGATGTGACCCCCACCAGCAGTGCACATCTTTGTTTTACCACCATGTTCAGGTTCACTTCTTTGTGAGCTTTTACATATTGTGTGTTTTCTTTGTGTTTAAAGTTCTTTTTTTTTTTTTTTGAGAGAGAGGGGTTTTTGTTTTAGGGTGAGTGTGCTCACTAGAAAGACAGAGAGAAAAAGAGAGACAGAAAGTGAGAAATCACCCCCCAGGGGGGATGGCCACATCGCAATCCCTTCTCCATTCTCCTCTTGGGATCTTGGGCACGCACGCACCCACACCCGGTGTGAGTTTAAGCCACCGGGTCCAGAACTTGAACTGCAGTCAACTACATGGGAGTCCAGCAGCATAGCCATTACGCTAACTGCTGGTCCCGAGTTCAGAGTTCTTTATTCAACAGTCTTTCAGTTTCATTCATGCCGTGGCATATAGTTTGCTGGTTTCCACTGCTGTACAGTTCTCCACAATTTATTCTATTCAGAGACACTTGGGTGGTTTACATTTTGCTACTTTTAAGAATGGTATTGTGGGGCCAGCAAGTGGAATGGTGGTGAAGGTGCTCGACATCCACATGGCCAACCGCAGTTCAAGTGCTGGACCCAGCAGCTGAAATTCGTACCAGGCATATGTGCGTGCATGCCCCAAATCCTGAGGTGAGAAGGGAGGAGGCGAGACTGCATCGTGGCCATCCTGGGGATTTTAACATAAAAATTTTGGAGGACACCAATATTCGGACTCTAGCAATTGTCTTTTTTGGGAGACAGTATGTTTGATGCCCAATGTCCGGATCCGCCAATGGTTATAAAATGCTGATATTCCTGAGCCCAGCAAGTGCTGTGGTGGTTACGGCGCTGGACACTCCCACATGGCCAATCACGGTTCAAGTCCCAGACCTAGCGGCTTGCTTTCTCACTTTCCCTCTCTCTCTGTCTCTCTCTCTGGTCAAATTAAGTGAATGAATAAATAAAATTAAATAAATAATTATTTGAAAAAAAAAAAAAGTCTTGGGGCCAGCAGGTGGCATGGTGGTTCGGGGGGCTGGACTCCCACATGACTGACCACGGTTAGAGTCCCAGACCTGGTGGTTTGCTTTTTCACTTTCCTCTCTCTCTGTTCCTCTCTTGTCAAATTAAATGAATAAAGCTAAATAAAAATAATTTTTAAAAAATCTTTTAAAAAAACTAGATTAGGGGCCAGCGGATGGCTTAATGGTTATGTCACTGGACTCCTATGTAGTTGACTGTGGTTCGAGTCCTGGACCGGGTGGCTTGAAACTCACACTGGGTGTGTGTGCCCAAGATCCCAAGACGAGAATGGAGACAAGGGACTGCAGTATGGCCATGGGTGTGTGCGTGTGATTTCTTGCTTTCTGTGTCTCTCTGGCAGCCACACACGCTTTATAGCAAAAATCTCTTTAAAAAACAAAACAAAAAACAAAAAACTAAATTATCCCCTCCCTTTCTCTCCAGGACTCAACATCTTAGCATCAAGACCCCCTTCCCCTTCCATGATCCTCTTCCATGCCCATCAATTTCCCCAGAAAATTCTTCCTGATCTCAGAATGTTCAAATTAAACAGTAGTTTGTTCTGAGGAAATTACAAAATCAATTGGATGAGGTGTGTCGAGCCCTTTTTAGTATACTTGTTTCCTGCATGCATATATGTATTTGTGTATAATCGATCATGAAGTAAGAACTATTTCTGACTAAGTTTTGATCAAAAATGTGTTCCACGTAGTCAACCGCGGTTCACGTCCCGGACCCGGTGGCTTAAACTCACCCCGGGTGCGTGTGCGTGTGTGCCCAAGATCCCGAGAGGAGAATAGAGGAGAAGGGACTGCGGTGTGACCATCCCCCCTGGGGGGTGATTTCTCGCTTTCTATCTCTATGTCTCTCTCTGTCTGTCTGGTGAGCGCACTCACCCTATAGCAAAAACTTCTCCAAAAAAAAAAAAATTGTGTTCCAGCCCTTGGTGTATGCTGACCCCATATTCCTTTCCTCACAGACTTCCACCGCTGCGAGAAGGCAATGACCGCTAAAGGGGGTGACGTCTCTGTGTGTGAATGGTACCGGCGTGTGTACAAGTCCCTCTGCCCCATATCCTGGGTATGTACTTCTTGCTGGGGTGCTTGGGATTCTGGGAAAGAATCCAGAGGGGGTGCAGTGACTTGGTGGGAGCACATCTTTGAGGGGCAGAGGGAGGACAAAGCATCACACTGTCCCGAGGGCCTTGTACCTTTTTCAGTGCCGGGTCCCTGTCCCTGTGGAGCTTACATTCTTGAGTAAGCCTTTCTTTCCTTCCTTCCTTCCTTTCTTCCTTCTTTCTTTCTTTTTTTCTTTCTCTCTTTCTTCCTCTCTTTCTTTCTCTTTCTTTCTCTCTCTCTCTCTCAGGTTTTTGCCATAGGGCACATATGCTTGCCAGAGAGAGAGACAGAGAGGGAACATGAGAAATCAGGCCCCCAGAGAGGAGCCACACTGCAATCCCTTCTCCATTCTCCTCCTCATGTTCTTCCTCTCTCTTACTGGTGAGCACACACTGTACCTGTTAGCAGCTAAAGAATAAATATGGGCCAGCCTGTGGCATAATGCTTAAGGCAGCTGGATCCCACATCGTTGACTGCATGAGTTGAGTCCCAGACCCAGGGTCTTGAGAGACACTTTGGGCATGTGTGTCCAAGATCTTTAAAGGAAGGAGTTGGAGAGAAGGGATTATGACATAACCATTCCCCATCGGCAGGTACTTTCTCACCTTCCCTCTCTTTTTTTCTCTTGGTCTCTCCAGTGAGTACACATGCCCTCTGACAAAACTTTTTTTTTCTTTTTTTAAAAGAATAAATAAAGGGACTAACAGTTGGTGTAATGGCTATGTCGCTAGACTACCATGTAGTCAACCGCGGTTTGAGTCCCGGACCCGGTGGCTTAAACTCACGCCAGGCACGTGTACGTGTGTGCCCAAGATCCCGAGAGGAAAATGGAGGAAAAGGGATTGCAGCATGGCCATCTCTTCTCCTGTGATCTCTCATTTTCTATCTCTCTGTCTGTCTGTGTCTTTCTGGCAAGCGCACGTGCCCTATAGCAAAAACCTCTCCAAAAAAAAAATTTTTTTTAAATAATAAATAAAAGAGTAAATAAACAAATAAAAACTAAGGGCATAATAGGCAGGCCTTTTAATTCTTATTTGACCAAACCTTTTGTCAGAATTTAGTATTTCTTGGTCTGCCCTCTTTTTTTTTAATAAAGAATTTATGTTAAACATTACCATGTTGCATGAAATCAAAGGACCCCATTGACTGTTAAACATTGAGAGATATTTAAATCTTCTTTATTTTTGGAGAGGTTTTTCTTTTGCTGTAGGGCATGTGCGCTCGCCAGAAAGACAGCGACAGAGGGACAGAAAGCGAGAAATCACCCTCCACCCCTGGAGGAATGGCCACACTGCAATCCCTTCTCCTCTACTCTCCTCTTGGGCACACATCCCCATGTGCCTGGCATGAGTTTAAGCCACCAGGTCCAGGACTCAAGCCACAGTGGACTACGTGGAAGTCCAGTAACATAACCATTACGCCAACTGCTGGTCCCCTCCTGGTGTATTTTTAAAAAGTTAATCTCTGGATGGGTCCGGCAAGTGGCCTGGTGGTTGGGGGTGCTGGACTCCCATATGGCCTACCACGGTTCCCGTCCCAGACCTGGAGGCTTGCTTTCCCACCCCTCTTCCCCAAGTCAAATTAAAATAAATAAATAAATAACATTTTTTAAAAAGTTAATCTCTGGGGTCCTGCAGGTGGCATGGTGGTTAAAGGTGCAGGATTCCCACGTGGCTGACTGCAGTTCAAGTCCCGGACCTGACAGCTTGCTTTCTCCCTTTCCCTCTCTCTCTATAATAACCAATGGAATTAAATAAATAATAAATATTTTTAGAAATTAATCTCTGGGGCCTAGCTGTGGTGGTGCAGATTGTAGGGTGGGTACCACTGTGAGATCCTCAGTCAACCTGAACCTACTGGGCACGTCTGTGATTGGCTGACTGGGAGGCTGGGGGCTCAGTTGTGGCATGGTGAGACACTGTCAAGGCTCTCTGTCTCATTAAAGAAAGAAAACTTTAGGGACCAGCAGTTAGCATAATGGCTATGTCGTTGGACTCCCATGTAGTCAACCGCAGCTCGAGTCCTGGACCCGGTGACTTAAACTCACACCCGGCACGTGTGCGTGCGTGCCCAAGATCCCGAGAGGAGAATGGAGGAGAAGGGATTGTGGTGTGGCCATCCCCCCTGGGGAGTGATTTCTTGCTTTATGTCTCTCTGTCTCTTTCTGTCTTTCTGGCGAGCACATGCACCCTGTAGCAAAAGCCTCTCCAAAAAAAAAAAAATCATCTTTAATTTATAGGCTCACTGACCATTCCCTTAAATCTGTTACTGCTTAATTTATAGAAGTAAGAGAGTTGTTATAGGGGAGAAAAAAAAAAAAGGAAGAAAGCTTTAAAAAATAAATCTTTATTCCCAGTATGTATATGTGCAGGGTGGGGGGGTGTACTGGAGGTCAGATATAGATTGCAGCACATTTCCTGAGTATTTAAATCATTTTCCCAACCATCCTTTATTTAACATTTAAAAAATAAATCTTAGGGTCCGGCAGGTGGCATAGTGGTTAAGGTGCTGGATTCCCACATGGCCGACTACAGTTTGAGTCCTGGATGTGGAGGCTTAAAACTCACACTGGGTGCTAGACCAGCAGTTAGCATAATGGCTATGTCACTGGACTGCCATGTACTTGACCACAGTTCAAGTCCCAGACCCAGTGGCTTAAACTCATACGCCAGGCATGTATGCATGCATGCCCAAGATCCCGAAAGGAGAGTGGAGGAGAAGGGATTGCAGCGTGGCCATTCCCACTGAGGGGTGATTTCTTGCCTTCTCTCTCTCTGTCTCTGTCTTCCTGATGAGCACATGCACCCTATAGCAAAAACCTCTCCATAAAATACTTACACCGGATGCATGTATGTCTATATCCAAAATCCCTAGGGGAAGATGGAGGAGAGGGGATTGCTGTTTGGCCATCCTCCCAGAGGGTGATTTCTCTCTCTCTGTGTCTCCTGTGAGTGCACAGGCCTTATAGTCAAAATCTCTTTTCAAAATAAATAAATAAATAAATAAATAAATAATCTTGGGACCAGCAGGTGGTGTGGTGATTAAGGTGCTGGACACTCCACATGGCCAACCACAGTTCGAGTCCTGGACCTGGTGACTTGCTTTCTCACATTCCCTCTCTCCCTCTCTGTGTGTCTCTCTCTGGTCAAATTAAGAAAAAAAAAAAATGAGTGAATGTATGAATATATAACATAAAATAAATAAAATAATTTCTTTTTTAAAAAAGAAAACCATGCAGTTAGTGTAATGGCTATGTCGCTGGACTCCCATGTAGTTGACTGCTGTTCGCGTCCTGGACCCGGTGGCTTAAAACTCATGCCGGACGGGCGTGTGCGTGCGTGCCCAAGATCCCGAGAGGAGAATGGAGGAGAAGGGATTGCGGCGTGACCATCCCCCCTGGGGGGTGATTTCTCGCTTTCTGACTCTATGTCTCTTTCTGTCTGTCTGGCGAGTGCACGCGCCCTATAGTGAAAATCTCTCAAAAAAAAAACACAAAAAAACCAGGGTCTGGTCACATAGTGATCCCCTAAAAAAAAAAAAAAAAAAAAAAAAAAAAAAACCAACGCTGAAATCCCCCAAAAAAAAAAAAAAAAAAAAAAAGAAAGCCATGCTATGTCTGTCTGCCTGTGTGCCCAAAATCCTGAGAGGTAGATGGAGGAGAAAAGACCACATTGTGACCATCACCCCGGGGAATGGTTTCTCAGTTTTCCTCTCAGTCTCTCTGTCTCTGGCAAGCACATGTGCCTGTGGTAAAGAAAGAAAGAAAGAAAGGAATTTTCCAATGAAAAATAACATTAGCTTTTTGGGAATCTTCAAAACCCAGCGAGTTATGTAATGTAATAGAATGTAAAGTGACAGCCGCTTAGTCGCCCTCTTCTAGGCTCCTTAGGAGTTAGGTATAAATCTTCCATTTTTCTCTGTGTTATTATGTGTGTTTGTATAGATGTGTATTTACATATTTATGTTTGTTCGTTTGTTTCCAATGTATTACAATCTTCCTGTCTCAGTCTCCCTGCTAGGAAGATGGCTGTGCACTACTACCACACCCAACTCTTTGTGGATTTTATTTTTAAATTGTTTATTTATTTATTTAGAAAGATTGATTTATTTAATTCCATTTATTATTATTTTTTAATTTGACCAGAGAGAGACAGAAAAAGGGAAAGGGAGAGAGCAAGCCGCCAGGTCCGGGACTCAAATCGTTGTTGGCCATGTGGGAATCCAACGCCTTTAATCAACATGCCACTTGCTGGCCCCCTATTTATTTATTTTAATTTGACCAGAGAGGGACAGAGTGAGAGAGAGGTAGAGAGAAACAAAGTGAGAAAACAAGCCACTAGGTCCGGGATTCGAACCTCAGTCAGCCATGTGGGAGTCCAGCACCCTTAATCACCACGCTACCTGCCAACCTTTTTTTTTTTAAGATAGGGTCTCCCCATATTGCCAGCCTTGATTGCCTGATCGTCCTCTCTTAGCTTCCCCATCAGTGGCACAGCAGGCACATGCCACTTCATTTTGGCCACTTTAATTGGCCCACGAATCAAACCTAGGCCTGTATACTTTTTTTATACAGTTAGAGATTGTACTGCAGGTTTTTGTTTTTTTTAAAGAGGTTTTTGTTATAGGGCGCGTGGGCGAGACAGAAAGCAAGAAATCACTCCCCAGGGGGAATAGCCATGTCACAATCCCTTCTCTTCCATTCTTTTCTCGGGATATTGGGCACGCACACACACGCGCCTAGAGTGAGTTTAAGCCACTGGGTCCAGGACTTGAACTGCGGTCGACTACATGGGAGTCCAGCAACATAGCCATTACGCCAACTGCTGGTCCCTGTACTTCAGGGGTTTTTTTAAAAGAAAAGAATTGTTTTTATTTAACTTTACTTATTTATTTTAATTTAACCAGAGAGAGAGAGAGAGAGTGAGAGTTGGGGAGGGATGAGAAAGCAAGCTGCCAAGTCTGGGACTTGAACCTCACTGGTGGCCACGTGGGAGTCCAGTGCTCTTAGCCACCATGCCACCTGCTGGCCCTTATAGATACTGTTTTGCACTTTGCTTTTTTCATTTAACATGCAGCACATACCTGTATTTGTGCCAATACACTCTTCTCGATTATTAAGTAGTCATTGTCTTTTTTTCCTTAAGAAATGTTTGCTATAGGGTATGTGTGCTCCCCAGAGAGACAGAGAAAGACAGAGAGCGAGAAATCACCCCCTGGGGGGGCCACGCCGCAGTCCCTTCTCCATGCTCCTCTTGGGATTTTGGGCACGCACGCACGTGCACCCAGCATGAGTTTTAAGCTGCCAGGTCAACTATGTGGGAGCCCAGTTACATATCCATTATGCCATCTGCTAGCCCCTGTTGTCTTTTTTTCTTTTTTTTTAAAGGTTTTTTTGCCATAGGGCATGTGCATTTGCCAGAGAGCTACAGAAACAGAGAGAGAGGAAAAGTGAGAACTTGACCCCGGGGGTTGGGGGGGATGGCCACGCTGCAGCCTCTTCTCTATTGTCCTCTCAGGATCTCGGGCACTACACACACGCACCCAACGTGCTTTTTAGGCCACTGGGTCTGGGACTTAAACAGCGGAACTGGCCATATGGAATCCAGTGCCTTTTACCACTGTGCCACCTGCTGGCCCTGGTAGTTGTCTTTTTTTTCTTTTTTTTTTTTTACATTGGGGCACTCACAAGACAGAGAGACAGAAAGCGAGAAATCCCCCCCCCAGGCGGGTGGCCACACCACAGTCCCTTCTCCTCCATTCTCCTCTCGGGATCTTGGGCAGGCACGCACATGCGCTTGGCGTGAGTTTTAAGCCACTGGGTCCGGGACTACATGGGAGTCCAGCAACGTAGCCATTATGCTAACTGCTGGTCCCCCTGGTAGTTGTCTTTAAAGAATTAAAAAATATTCCCTTCTCCTTTAGCTGGGTTCAATCTTTTTTGTTATTCTTTTTTTAATCTAGAAGGTGCGTGCATGCACATGCAAGAGAAAGAGAAAGCACTCCCCGTGGGGCCTGGCCACACTGTGACCCTGTTTCCTCCAGTTATCACTCCATCCGGATCCTAGGCACACGATGCACCTATGGTTTTACAAGCCTGTTAGGCTAGGATTTAAACCCTGGCACCGCTTAACTACTGCCCTACTGGGACAGCGCTCACTATTTGAAGTGTTACAAGTGTACAGTCCCATGGCAGGAAATGTTGAATGTTTCTTGTTTCTTTTCTCTGGCATTAACTCCTTTCCATTATCTGGCATTACTGAGGAAAGGGTAATTTGCCAATTTGTCTCTGCCCCTCCTTTTTCAGCATTGTAGTTTTTTAAAAGCCTTTTTCTTTTTTCTAATTTGCTATAAAGTACTTGCACTAACCAGAGAAAGTGTGAGAGAGAGAGAGAGGGAAAGTGAGAAACTACACCCCAGGAGGATGGCCACACCACAATTCCTTCTCCATTTCAATTTTGGACATACCTGTACATGCACTTGGCATGTTTTCCAAGCCTCCAGGTCTAGGACTCAAACCACACGGTCAGCCATGTAAGATCCAGCAGCCTTAACCACACGAACATGAAGTTTTTATGGTGTGTGGTGTGTGTGTGTGTAAATAAAAGAGGCACGTGGGACCAGCAGTTAGCATAATGACTATGTCGCTGGACTCCCACGTAGTTGACTGCAGTTCGCGTCCTGGACCCGGTGGCTTAAAACTCAGCTCCAGGCCCGTGTGCGTGTGTGCCCAAGATCCCGAGAGGAGAATGGAGGAGAAGGGATTGTGGCGTGGCCGTCCCCCCTGGGGGGTGATTTCTCACTTTCTGTCTCTCTGTCTGTCTCTGTCTGTCTGGCGAGCGCACGCGCCCTATAGCGAAAACCTCTCCAAATAAATAAATAAATAAAAGAGGCACGTTTGTGGCACTCACTAGTGGGCAGCTGCATTGTAAGTACTTGATCCCACCAACCATGCAAACACATGCCTGGTACTTTCGTCAGTATCCTCATTCCACAGAATTGGAAGCTGAGGCCCAGGGAAGGTTAAATTGCTTGAGATCACACAGCTTAGGGAGGGAATCTTTGAGAAGGATCTCTCCTGCGGAGAAGGAGATGGAGCATTATGTGAGCTTTTAGGCAGATCAGTTCTGTGGCCTGGTGCTGAAGGGAGACGGGTTAGGGTTAGCCCACGTGACTGACCGTGAATGTTGTGTCCCAGACCCAGCACTTGAGAAACACGCCAGGCACATGTGTGTGCGTCCCTCCCTCTCACGGTCTTTCTGTCTCCCTGGCGAGCGCATACATCTCTGACCAAGAACAAAAACAGCTTGTAACTGTCCATCGGAGCAGAGTGTTACTTCTGGGAAGGGTTAGTGATTTGATACATCTGTGATCCACAATGAGGTCTCAGTGTGTACTCTGCCTAGTACCTTTTTGAACTTCATCCTGTAGATCCATTCATCCCAGAACAGAGGCCATCCTCGTTTCCCACAGTGGCCTAGGACGCCGTCTGTCTCACTGTCCTGACAAACAGCAGAGAGCATTAAGTCAGGTTACTGAAGCAGGGCATGTCCACAGTCTTGAAACCCTGTAGAGTGACGTATCTCCTCGAGGACAGCCCCCAGTAATCCCTGGGTTTGTCTGCCCCTGCCTCGCCCACCACCCCACCTCTGCCCAGTGTCAGTTCATACAGAACAGTGGTTTTCGTCCCTTGGAGTCACTGCTGATCACACAGCTCCTGGAATAGTGGTGGACAGAGCAGGCACCCATGGTTCTTGTTGACTGAGGGAACGGGTGGGCAAAGTGAGGAAGGCAGACCGCCACCCACCGCCATTGCCCCTGAGAAAGGGAGTGACACTGTTTGCCTCTCCACAGGTTTCAACCTGGGACGACCGCCGGGCAGAAGGCACATTTCCTGGGAAGATCTGAACTGGCTTCACCCACCTCTCCTCTGCCCTCCGTCCTTGTCTCAGGTGGCAAAATGGGACCTGGGTACATGGTTATCCACCCATGTACCACCCTGGGACCTTGAATCATGACTTAACTAATAATAAAAGTTTATTGGAAAAGTGTAGCCTGTGTGTGTGCAAGAGCTAGAGTTGGACAAGAAGCTGTGTTGAATCAGTATGCTGGCTGGTAAGAGGGGCCTTAGAGTGATTCGCTTTTCGTTTTTATTATATTTTTATTTTTTATTTTATACTGTCTCTGTACTAGACAATGAGTAGAGTGGGCGATTGTATAAAATAGCCTCGAGTCCTCCATGTGTGCTAAAATTCATCCGTATGCTTGCCCTTATTATCTAGATAGATTTTTTAAAATCTTAGTATGATTTTTGAGCCATAAGAAATTAGTATAAGAAATAACTATGAGCTAGCTGTGGCATGGTGGTTATGGCAGCTGGATCCCACATGGCCAACTACACAGTCCCGGCCCTAATGTGTCAAGCTAGGAACATGTACATGTTCAAAATCCCAATAGGATGGAAAAACGGAGAAAGGATTGCAGTGACATGCCCCATGGGGGGTGGGGGTGCTTTTTCATTCTCTTTCTTCTTCTTTGTCTCTGGTGAGTATACACATCCTCTAGTAATTAAAAAGAAAAAAATAGCTATGTATACATCACTAGCTTCAACCGCTATCAAAGGAAGGCCAATCTACTTCATCTCTCTCTAACTTCCCCCACTGTTCTTTCACAATGGTCCCAAGGGAGTTGCCCCCACAATAACAGTCCAGAATATTCAGCAAACTTGTCAACAGGGAACTGAGACAGCATGACCAGGCAGTGCACCATTGTGGGGCTGAATCGATGTATCCTCAAGACCTTTCAGGCAGTTGCAGGACTGACTGGTCTGATGTTCATTCAGATGTGCAGAAGTGATTCTTGCATTGAGGAAAATGAGCAAGAGGGACCGTGAGAAACTTTAGCATGCACTGTACACAGCAAGCAACTTAAACCCGAGGATTTTCAGCGAAACAGTAGTACATTCAGCGTGAAGTCAAGGGGTAGGACTCCCCTGATCCCTGCTGCCCAATTTTGTCCAGAAGCTACCACCATTAGCAGTTTCCTGTTCATAGTTCTAGAACCTGGTTCTGTTTTCCCTCTTCTCTACCACTTCCATTTGCTCACACAGTTCCTGCTACACCAGCCTCGTCGGGGCGGGAACTGTGTGAGCAAAGGAGGCTTTTTTTTTTTAATACAATTTTTTGGGTTTTTTTTTTTTTTTTAGAGGTTTTTGCTATAGGGCATGTGCGCTCGCCAGAAAGACACAGAGAGACAGAGAGATAGAAAGTGAGAAATCACCCCCCAGTGGGAATGGCCACGCCGCAATCCCTTCTCTTCCATTCTCCTCTCGGGATCTTGGGCATGCACACACATGCGCCCAGCGTGAGTTCAAGCCGCCAGGTCCAGGACTTGAACCATGGTCGACTACGTGGGAGTCCATCGACATAGCCATTATGCTGGTCCCACAAAGGAGGCTTTTCAGTACACTAGGCTGGCTCCAACTTCAAGCCCCTTGCTCATGCTGTTTCTCTGCCTGGAGTGTTTTCTCACCAGATCACTTGGCTCTCTTCCCTCTCCACCACAGGTCTTCACGCATGCGTGACTTAGTGACGCCTTCCTTGGCCACTTGACCTGTGACGTCAATTCCACCCATCATGCGTTCTTTGTACCCCTGTGCCCCTTCCCCAGTGGGAAGGGCCCCGCCGCAATCCCTTCTCTTCCATTCTCCTCTCGGGATCTTGGGCATGCACACACATGCGCCCAGCGTGAGTTCAAGCCGCCAGGTCCAGGACTTGAACCATGGTCGACTACGTGGGAGTCCATCGACATAGCCATTATGCTGGTCCCACAAAGGAGGCTTTTCAGTACACTAGGCTGGCTCCAACTTCAAGCCCCTTGCTCATGCTGTTTCTCTGCCTGGAGTGTTTTCTCACCAGATCACTTGGCTCTCTTCCCTCTCCACCACAGGTCTTCACGCATGCGTGACTTAGTGACGCCTTCCTTGGCCACTTGACCTGTGACGTCAATTCCACCCATCATGCGTTCTTTGTACCCCTGTGCCCCTTTTCTTTCACAAGCACTGCCACTAACATTTTTCAGTGTTTTACATATTTATTCCTGGACTTTGGTCCTGCCTCTAGAAAGTACTTTTTTCATTCCGTTTTTCATGGCAGGGATTTTACATATGTATGCAAGGACTTCAAAAAGTTCATGGAAAATAGGATTAAAGTACAAGTTTATTCTAGTAAAAAAAAAAAAAGTGAAATATATACATAGTTCTTTTTAAATAATATCCATTTTTTGGGAACCAGCAGATGTCATAATGGTTACGTCACTGGACTCCCACATAGTTGACTGTGGTTCAAGTTCCAGACCTGGCGACTTAAAACTCATACTGGGCTCGTGTGTATGTGTGCACCCAAGATACCGAGAGGAGAGTGGAGGAGAAGGGATTCACATGGCCATCCCCCCTGGGGGTGAATTTTCGCTTTCTGTCTCTCTAGCAAGTGCACAAGCCCTATAGCAAAAATCTTGGGGGGAAACATTGCATTTTGGGGGCCCGCAGGTAGGGTGGTTAGGGGCACTGGACTCCCACATGGTTGAGTACATTAGAGTCCCAGACCTAGTGACTTACTTTCTCACTTTCTCTCTTTCTCACTCCAACTCTGTCCCTCTCTGATCAAATTTAAATAAATAAATAAATAAAATAATTATTTTTTAAAAATTGCATTTTTTCAGGACCAGTAGTTGGTGTAATGGCTATCACTGGACTCCCATGTAGTCGACCACTGTTCAATTGCTTAAACTCAGCGTGCCCAAGATCCCAAGAGGAGAATGGAGGAGAAGGGATTGCAGCATGGCCATGCCCCCAGGGGGTGATTTCTTGCTTTCTGTCTCTCTGTCTCTCTCTCTTTCTGGTGAGCACACGCACCCATAGCAAAAACCTCTCCCCCCCCCAAAGAATTGCATTTTTCACAAATATTTTCAATACCCCAATATACATGCCCCCTTTCAACATTTTCCTTTTTTTTTTTCTTTTTAAGATTTTTTGCCGTAGGGTGCATGAATTTGCCAGAGACAGAAAGGGAAAGTGAGAAATCACTACCCTCCCTCCTCAGGGGGTTGATCATGCCATAATCCCTTCTCCATTCTCCTTGGGATTTTGAGCATACGTTTCCAGGTCCAGTACTCGAACCGCAGTTAGACATGTAGGAGTCCATTACCTTAACTACTATGCCACCTGGTAGTCCTAATATGAATGTTTTTATTTTTTTGTGTTGGGGGAGAGGTTTTTGCTGGAAGGCGCGTGTGCTCATCAGAAAGACAGAGACAGAGACAGAAAGCGAGAAATCACCCCTTGGGGGATGGCCACGCTGCAATCCCTTCTCCTCCAATCTCCTCTCAGGATCTTGGGTCCGTGCGCGCGCGCGCACACACACACACACAGACCCACACACACACAGTGAGTTTAAGCCACCGGGTCTGGGACTCAAACACAGTCTAATACATGAGAGTCCAGTGACAGAGCCATTACACCAGCTGCTCGTCCCTAATATGAATGTTTTTAAATGAGCCAGATGATGGCTCATTGGTAAAACGTGATGCTCTGCAAGGCTGACCCACATGGGAAGGCTTAGGTTCGTCTGGAGACCTGCCGGAGTATACCAAACACACATGATCCAGGCTGACTGAAACTGGGGGTAGATGGTGGTGTTAAGGACTGTTTAGAGGTGTTATCTCTGTCTCTTGATCATGGAAGAAATAAAAATAAATAAAAAATTTTGATCATACAAAAAATGATTTTCTGATACCTACCACTTAGATTTAATAATTACAACATTCTGTCATATTTATTTTGTGTACATGTTATTTTTTGCTGAACCACTGAATGTATTATAGTTCCCAAATATCTTGATGCTTCACTTAAGCATGTGCCTCTGAAAAATGACATGTTCCTTTTTACTGTTGTCACTCCTAAGAAAAACTGTAGTGCCCTCATATTTCATATCCAGTTCATGTTTGAATTTCCTAAATTGTACTCCCAAAATCTTGTGTACTCTGAATTACCTAGTTTGATTTTGGTACCAGGATGTAGTCAAGGTTCACTTTTTTTTTTTTTTTTGGCTGTAGGGTTTGTGCGCTCACCAGAGAGACCGATGCAGAGAGATATAGAGCAAGAAATTACCCCCTAGAAGGATGGCCATGCCACAGTCCTTTCTCCTCCATTCTCTTCCTGGAATTTTGGGCATATACATACACACACCCGGCGTGAATTTCAAGCCACCAGGTCTGGGACTTGAACCGTGGTCAACCATGTGGGCATTCAAAGCCTTCAAGAGCATCCACAAGACAGTTTGTCATCTTCCCCCTCTTAAGCAACAGCCACAAGACCATTCTCCTGTCTCCCGCGTTTCAGTTGAGCACTTTCTCCTTGTTCCTGAGGGTATTCCTACAGGCTGTACGTGTGCACTGTGCTCTGCCCCTCACCTGCGTTATCTTGGGCCTTCCAGCAACTTATGTTGTTACCATGCGTATTTTACAAGTGAGAAAACTTGACAGGCCTCCATTTACCCACCTCCAGTTCATGTGGTTATGGATTTTCTTTTAGGATATCTGTATAGGAGAGTGTTCATTGTAGACACCTTCCAGGGCACGTTAAGCAGAATGAGATTTCATATGAGGAATCTGGTCCAGTAAAACCACATAATGATGTGTATCTGCATATGCTGCATATGACATAATGGGCTTCCCTGAGACCCTCATTTCACAGGATTTAATACAGCTTTACAGTAGTTTTACATTACTTTAAAAATAACTGGTATTGGGAACCAGCAGTTAGCGTAATGGCTATGTCGCTGGACTCCCACGTAGTCGACCGCAGTTCGCGTCCTGGACCCGGTGGCTTAAAACACACCGGGCGCGTGTGCGTGCGTGCCCAAGATCCTGAGAGAATGGAGGAGAAGGGATTGCCACGTGACCATCCCCCCTGGGGGGTAATTTCTCACTTTCTGTCTCTATGTCTCTGTCTGTCTGGCCAATGCACGCGCCCTATAGCAAAACCTCTCCAAAAAA